TTTTGTTATTCCAAGTTGACAGAAGCATGTGTATTTTTGTATCACCATTACATAACACACACATAATGTAATGTATCTAAATGTGTGTGTTATGTAATGGTGATACAGAAATTCCTGTATTGTTTTGTTATTCCAAGTTGACAGAAGCATGTGTATTTTTGTATCACCATTCTTGTTGCATTTTATGTTTATATTTGTATTAGCTAAAAGAAAAAATGAGTTCATGCTTTCATCTTTTGTATTGTCAATATATAGTAGTAATCCTTAACCCTTTCACTGCAAAAACAAATTTTATTTTACCTTGTGAAATTTTAGTATAGCAAAAGTAAAGAATAAACACTAAAAATTACTTCTGTGTAGGCTTGGTGATGTGCTGAGAGAGAGGAGGAAGCAGGAGGGTTGGTCAGATTGGTGGCAATTCTTACTGACCACAAGATAAGACAGGAGGGGGAGCAAGTCTTGTTTGTTTCTTCCAGATATGGTATCACACTCCTCTCTCTATCTTATGCACTGGTACAGTGTTGGTCATGAGTAACATGATGATATTGTACAATTATTACACTTAGCACACTAATATAAGTTACTAAAACTACTATATAAATGCCTAATAATTACACTATATACATTTTTTCAGCACTTTGATGTTTTTAGTACTTGCTCAATGTGTGGGAGTCCCTGAAGCAATCCCCAATGTACAAAGCAACACCACAAACCTTGCATTATGTACTTGCTTGTTTTTTTATTTGGTTCTCTCCTGGAGTGCATGCAAATCTTTTACTGTCTTTGTCCCATTGATCTTTTGCCTGGTAGTAGCAAATGTTCCAGAAAGTGCTTAGAGATATATTCTTTGTCTTGCAGTCTGTCTGGGGTGTGGCTTCTAGTTCTGACTTAGGGTTCAGTTGTCACAGTACCAGTAAGCTGAAAGTGGCTGAAGTCTTTCAAAGGAACTTTGTTGCTAGGCTTGACCAAATACCTTATTTTTTCGGTGTATAAGACACACTTTTTTATTCCAAAATTTGATGTCAAAATCTGCTTGCGTCCTATACACCAAAGGTACGAATAATATATGTGTATATATATACGATATACACAAGCTATGTGTAAATATGT